ATAAAGTATATTATTATTATTATTGCCTCCATTTGCTGCCTGATCGGTACTATGCATGTGCAACTCTCAACGGAGATGAGAAGGAAGCGAGTTGTCTCACTCATTAGCTACTTCTGTCATTAGCTCAAAAACTATGTGTTTAATTATTTTTTTACCACTTGATCAAGCAAGTAAGTTGCTAGATTTACTCACCATTTTACTTTCCCAGGGCAAGCGGGGAGCCCTTATTGTTGAGGCCTGCTATTAGCGGCTTCAAAACCCTAAAAGAGATAGAATTTCAACACGAGTTTTTCTGTCTTCCTGCCATGCGAGAAATCTGTAAAAGTGTCAGTTCTTTATTTCACAACTCTTTGTTGCATAAACAGCAGATGCTGTGGACACAGCTCTGCCTCTTGGACCTCTGGGTTTGTTTTTGGCCCATCAGTCCTCTGCCACTCTGTTTGTCATTGCATATGGCAGCCACATGCAGTGGAGCTCTGATGAGTCAGACTCTGCTGGCCCTAAGACTGCAGGCTGATGGCTGCTTACTGAATGCAGTCATCTGTGTGTTTTAAGGTGTCAGTCAGGTTTCCTTTTCTTAGAATTGAACAGATGTAAAAAGCAGTTTAGTTCCTGTCCAGCCATGTTGACATTCACTGCTCATAACTGGCCAGTTTTTCTTGCTCTTCTATGACACACCTTCCTGTCTGTTACTAAAAACATAGCCATTCATTAAAGCAAATAGCTTTTATCAGTTACTGTAAGCTGAATCATTGCTGGATTAGAACAAGGTAGACAGGAACAGAGGTTTACTCAAGAGCGAAATTATTAAAGAAATAGTTTGACGTGTAATTTTAAGACTTGAAACGAGGGGAAGTTAGCCTGGCTCTAACCAAAGGTGACAGCACCTTGTCTGATGTGTTGTCCAACCACACTAATGTGGGGTAAAAAGCCTGCAATAGGAAAGCACTTCAGCATTAGAAGTCCCTTTGGAAGGCATTCATGATATTGCAATCGGTTGAACACATGAGAAGTGACAGAAATAGTTTTGTAAAGAATGTAAGAATGAAAAGAGAGTTATTGTGACAAGTTCAAACTCTGCTTACTTTGTTGAAGCAGTTCAGTTTTGGATTCCACTCCTAAATCTCTGATGCAGTTTCATTTTGCCCTCAGATTTATTACTAGTGATAGCTATGGTACTCACCACTGTATCCTGTATGATATGGTGATAAGGCTGAAAGGTGTAATAAGCACTGTCTTTTGTTTTAAGGCCCTTGTTGGAAAGCTACCACCTTAAGTGATGCTGGATTTGAACTTGGGACTTTTTCAAACTTGTTCATATGACTGGCATATGTTTAGGGTTCCAAGAGCATGGCCCAATTTGGACAGTCAGCCTTTTCTCTTAGAGCCCCTAAATCTAAAAAGCCATACTCGACTAATCTACGAACAATTTAGAACCATGATCACAAACTTCCCTGCTTCAAAGAATAACTAATTCAACTGATTTCCTTTCTTTATTTTTTCTCATCTATTGTGTCTCTTTTAATTTGTCTGTAAGAGGGCAACCTCAATGGTCCTTTGACTTTAAATAAAGGTTTGATATGTAAAGGCTGTGGTCTTTGAAACCACTTTCTTGAAAAAGGTTATAATGATTTAAAGCAGGACACAACCAGCCAACTTCCTCTGTATCAGCAACTCCATAAAACAGGTGGTCGTTGGTGAAGTAAATCTTAACTGCATCATGCTGCAGATTTACTGTAATGTTACTTGTAATTTTTTGTGTGTGAGGACATCTGTCTTACACTAATATTCTCTCTTTTGTTGCTCACTTGATGATTTAATTTCAATGAAAAACATTAAAAGCCTCTTTTTGTTGTTTTCCTCTTCCCTCTCCATCTGTCTCTTTCTCTCTTTATAACATTTGGTGTTAGAGCTCTGTCAGCCCTCCTCTATCAGAAACAGATGCTGTGTTGTTCTTGAGTGGAATAAATACCAAAAGTAAACTGCAAAGATCAAATTAAGGGAAAGTGAGTGATTACCGGCCAAACCGAGCTGGTGCAGGAAATGGAATTTGTATTGTTGTGGGCCCGGTTGTGGAGGAAAGCTTTCCACAGGAAAGACTCAAAGTACAGCACACTGACCAGAGAGTCACTGAAAACCGGAAATTATTTCTGGAGAGATCAAGAGCCAGTTTCATAACAAGTGAACTTCTTAAATAGGGAAAAAACATTACGACTATTTTGCTGATACTATTATGGCTTGGACCTGAGCTGATCAGACCAAGTTGGACTGAGCCCCCTCTAGTCTGGGCCATCTGCACACTATATGGTTGTGAAAATATTCACAATGGGACAATTAAAGTAATGATATTGGAAGTGGTTTTTAAAAATCAGTCTCAAAATATTAACCTGACGGCGCCAGATAGTTTGTTGAACTCGTTGTTGGAAACAGCAGGTGATTGGATGAACCATCTGTCTATCACAGGCAAACTTCAACCAGTCAGATCAACAAACCATATTACGTAGTCAAACTCTTGCTGAAGCCAGTTGGGAGAGGAGTGAAAACTTTTCTTTTTTCTTTTCCATAAAGAAAACCCATAAGTGCCGTTCTTTGCTCTTCTTTTAATGAAGAAATACTCTCCAGGTCTGATATAACTGATGCAAGCAGCATCTACGCTATTTAGCGAATAATCACTTCTTGATGCATTAAACCACGCCCGTAGCCCATAGTAGTTCCTCAAAGGATGCTTATTGGTATGAACCACTGTTTTCGGACACAAGCTCGTCTTAAAGCCTGGCAAGGTGGATTCTGAATCCAGTTGCCTCACAAGGTTATTAAAAAAGCAAGCTAATGGAAGACAGGTTTATGTTTGTAAGTGTCAGTTGTTCCAGGTTTCACTAGTTCACCACAGCTTATCTTTCACCATTTCAATGGTTCCCCTTTCCATTTTTTAATTAGAACAGCATGCTTAAAAGAGCTTGGCAAATTGTTTTGATTTAGTTTCCTGAGAATTTCCGTTCTTGTGGTTGGCTGCTAACATTTTAGTGCAAGGAATGAACACACTGAGTATAATTTCAGGTGTGCCATAATCACAGCTTATTTCATAAGATAAAAATATTAATAACTAGAACCTTAAAAAAGTATGTATGAGAAACTAAGGTGGCTCCAAAAAATGTGAAAGTCCCTATCTACAACCAGTGTTTGTCCAATCTGGGCTACTGTAGAAACATGGCAGTTCAACATGGTGGATGGAGACCCATTTCTCCTATCTATTTGGGATTAGTAGGACCCGATAAACATAAAAACCAACCATTGTCTTTGAACAATTAGTAGTTTTCACAAAAAATGTCTTATAGAAAACACTCATATGAGGACATTAGGACTTTATTTATTATAAAACTTTGTCCCCATATGGGGATGCAGGGACGCAGGAGACTATAATTATTATATTCCATTTCTGACAATAGCTCCTCCTCAATGTTACACACTGGACCTTTAAATTACTGCACCACTTAAACAGCCTTGCTATGAGAGTTCAAGGACTGAGTTCGCTGTGGAGGTCTGGTGATCATCGAACACGGACATCGAACTCTTCACTGTCAAATTTATGTCATGAATAGTTAAATGTTAAATGAAACTCGAGATGTTGCTGCCCTTTGAACCAACTACCTTACTGCACATGTGGCCCTGCAGACTACTGGCGCCAATGTTAGAAAAATGAAGTCACACTTTTGGCATCTTGGTACTTTCAATGATTATAGTAGTTTGTTGATGATTTATTTCTGAAAGCACATTCACTGTGGACAAGGCATATTGCGCCTCTGTATATAATGTAACTAACATCACTGCTTCCAAACTGTTTGGAGGTTTGTTTGTCTATAAAACTCCACCATGTCCATATGGGGATATTTGATATAGATGCTGGTTTAGCTCTTAAGGTTGTGGTGCTACAGTGTACATAAGGTGTTAATTAAAACTGATTCAAAATTAGGGGTAAGTAGGTAAAGCATAAAAACATGTAAAAGTGTTGAGAAGGACAAACAGGAACAGAAATCAGTTCAGGACATGTGTTGTCTGTGACCTGGGGCAGCATGCATTATATAGTATAGGATGAATTAAGCCATGCAACATTTATGTAGACGTATACTGTGTGTGTGAGTGTGTGTGTGTGTGGGAGGGAAAGACAGAGACAGAGAGAGAGCCAGAGAGAGA